AAATGTTTTAATGTGTGTATTTTATTATATAGAATTTACTATTATTTGACATACATTAAGTGTTATGTATGAAGTATTAAATGTATATAACTTGTTAGAGAGCAAGTTACTTCTTGAATTTCTTTACAATTATTACATTGGCTACATTTCCGTTCGGATCACTCAGATGACCCCATTTTATATTTGTATTTTAATAAGACTTCATATTTTTTATTACTGTTCATTTTAAATTTTCAAAATGTCATCTTTGTGGAAGCATTATACACTTGTTACAAATGGCATTGCCAAATGTAAGTATTGTCCAAATGAATATAATATAAGAAAAACTACGTCATCACTAAGATACCATTTAAAATGTAAACATTCTGATAAAATTGAACCTCTTACACCTAATGAAGAGACAGAATCTGATTTACGGTAAGTTTTTTTCTATGTTTTGTACTGAATTACTTAATTCATCAAATTCAATATTTTCGAGACAAAAACATTAAATTATTTTAATTTTTTAAAAATATATTTTATATAAATGCATTATTATTCATGTTCAGATCTGATGAATAATCAAATCCGGGTCCTTCGTGCAATAAAAAAAAGCGACAAATAACAAGAGAATATTACAGCCGTAAAGTATGTATTCACTCATTTTTTACACTAAAAAATACGACTCTGTATCAATCATACATTTAATGCAATTAATTTCTTTTTAATTCTTTTTGTTTCAGAATCCTAAGTCAGAAGCAACTTCTATTTCGCTTGTTAAATATATTGCCATGGATATGCTGCCTTTATCACATGTAGAAGGTCTAGGTTTTACACAATTTATGAAAGACATTCTTTCTGAATATATAATTCCCAGTAGAACTGTTATTAAAAATCGTTTGGAACTTTTGTACGAGTCAGTTCGAAATGATATTCTTGAAGCCTTTCATTGCTTTCCTTACATATCAATTACAACTGATGGTTGGTCATCTCGTTTATCAGACTCATTCATGACTATTACGGCACATGCTATTGATGATTTATGGAATATGCGTTCAGTAACTGTGGACACGAATGAAATGTCAGAAAGTCATACTGCAGAAAATATTTACAAGTATTTGTGTAAAGCTCTATCAGAATGGAAAATAGTTGATAAAACAATTGCTGTTGTACATGACAATGCTCCAAATATGATCGCTGCAATGCGAACGAGTTCTAGTTCAAATGTTAAAATTGGCCAAAGTGTGCGTTGTTTCTGTCATACGTTACAGCTGGTAATCGAAAAAGCTTTCAAAGAAGATACTTTTAAAAAACATTTGCAAAAAGTTTCCGCTATCGTTGGTCATTTCAAGCATTCTAATAAAGCAACAAAAGCTCTCAGCGATGCTCAAAAAGAACATAATTTACCAGATCATTGTCTAATTAGTTATTGTGTAACGCGCTGGAATTCAGCTTATGCTATGATGGAAAGAATATTAGAACAACGTCAAGCCGTTGAGACTGTGTTGCTAAACCCTCAATTTACAACTCCAGCAATGTCTAAAAAATTGCTTCTAAACAATTCCGAATGGACTTATTTACAAGCTCTTGTTAAAATTTTGAAGCCTTTTGAAGTAGCTACAGAATTAATGTCTAAAGAATCTGAGTCCATTATTGGAATGATACGGCCTGTTATTTATTCAATTATTGATAAATTGCACGCCTCATAAGCGAAGCGTTGAGGTTGTGCTCTACTCTCGACATTTCGAAAAAAGCTGTTTTCTCGAAACTGAAATTGATTTTTTGTTATTTATATCGCACTTACAGGTTAAAATGAGTACACTTATTTCAAGTCAAATAATTTTTCAAGTACATAAAATATATTTCAATAACAATTTTTTTGTTTAACATAATAAATAATAACATTAAACATAATCTTTTTTGGACGTCCGTGGATGAATGGGTGTATGTGGCAGAGAAATTGGTCGAAAAAATGATCGTACCGGAATAATTTTTTTTGAATTATCTAAAGTAACACACGACAGAATTTCTTAGTTAATATGAGCGTTCAATTCACTGTCATTAAGTTATTATTTATAAAAAACTAATATATGACTGTGGATATTTTTGTATTTCTATTTAGACATTTTATTTTAGTATTTTTTTTCCTCACCTTGCAGTTATGGCGCCACTAAACCATAGCAGTGTTTTCTGTTTTTTATTATTTTGCTTTTTATATTTTATTTTAATCAATTTTATTTTAAAAAATGAGATTATGAGGCGTGCACTTTTGGATTTTCCAAACTTTTTTTGCAATACGATGAAGACAACGACCTTCCGAAAATTCAATTATTAAAAGATATTTTTCAAGAAGAACTACAAGAACGGTTTTTGAGCAATGATAGTGATAGTGTATGTGCGTTGGCTTGTTTCTTAGATTCTCGGTATGATTATTATTTGATTTATTACTATTAGACTATATGATCTGCTCGAATATTTGTTGATAACAACAAATATTCGAACAGTTCTTTTCTATGTATTAACTTTAAAAAATAAGAAATATTTTTTTGGAGTTCGAAAATATTTTTTTGTTTTTTATTTATCATTATAATATTTAATTTAAATAAATTATTGATTGTAAAATTTACTTTTATTTGGGCAGATACAAAGATATGGTTAATGAAAATGAAGATTTCAAGAAATCCGTTGAAAAAACAATATTACAAATGATGACAGAAGAAAATGCAGGATGGACACCAGAGTTTGTTAGTAAAAATAAGAGAGAAAAAGACTTAGATTATCTTTTCAGCTCTGAAATAGCATTGTCTCAAAGCTTTGAAAGAATGGCTAGTTTTGACTCTGACCAACAAAATGATCTAAATGAAAAATACTAAAGAGAA